CCCCAAAACACAGAACTTTATTAAGGTTTGTACTGATGATGGCAAAATATCCTTTAACTTTACTGCTTCCTCAGACTGGAATCAGCTGCAGAAAGTTGTATGTCATTTTAGGATTTTGTAATGTCTGTGGGCTGCTGCTGTTCTTGACCTGGTCTCACTGGAAAAGAGATATTTAATCTCAATAACATCTACCTGAGGCCTGTTGCACAAAAATTAGATAAAGGATTAAGCCAGAATTTTTGTGTTATCTTGGATAAATTAATATGTGATTTTTGTTGCACAAAACTGGAGACAACTACGTTTCCATGGTAACTAATGCTCTGAAATTAACCTGGTCCCGACCAGGCTTAAAGTCAAGCCTCTTTAATCTGTTATTTCAGAGCAGCACTGTGAATGCTGAATGCATTGTAAGAAAATTATGCATTGTTCAAAATGGTATGTCCGAATAAACAGGAATCCACTGGATTTCTTGTTAAAACTTTATTTTCAATCTTTTGACTCCAGTCAGGTTCATACAGCACACAGGCCTCAGCGTAAGACCTTGGGCTGAATCAAAACAAAAACACAGGAGCCCTGCTCTAAAGCAGAGATTCTGCAACACTGACAACTTCTTTCTACTATAATAATGAATTGAGCTTATAATGTATCTTTCTTCCTGGTTACACCCCAGGAGGTGTTACTTTTTACGTCAGACATCAGAACGTAACTCATTTGTGTTTAGGCTAATGAAAGAACACACGATAAGACACACACCAACTCTTTGTCTGCTTTAACCTTACAAGCTGAAATGATCAGAAAGTATAAAATACAATACTGCATCTAACATTCTATTAATCAGTTACAAAATTTCCTTCAGCATTGTAACACATTCGTACACAACCAGCTCTGCTAATTTTCCCCCACCTTCTCGCACTCACACATACTGTAAATCTTTATTCACCTGAGTTGATCTACAGCCCCTTACCTTAACGTGTCCCAGTGATCTATGGCCTACATCCGATATCCTGATTGTATAAATCTGACTTTTGTGCAACAGGCCCCTGGTTAAATAAAAGTTTAATAATAAATTAGGGATGCACCGATATGAAAATTTTAGCCGATATCGATATCCGATATAATTATTGCTGTTATGGCCAATAACCGATATTTACCGATATTACACAAGCATACAAATTATATTATACACGCAAAAACACACTTTTTTTTGATACTGTAAATAATTGACCAGACCTCTGACATGGCTCCCTACTTCAGTTATTCCTGGTTACGCAGCGTCAATAYCACTATCACGATCAAACAGATGCTGCTCAACCAACCGTAGCTCCCAAAACAGAAACACAAAGCTAAAAAGTGAGAAATCAAWATYGGACATTAAAATCAGCCCCGTTTTACATATCGGRCTGATACCGATACTCTAAAAAATGACCAATATCGGCCGATACCCATATCAATACCGATWTATCGTGCATCCCTATAATAAATAACAAAAATTTCACTGTTGATGTAATCTTTTCAYGTAGAGCCATTCTGCCTGGCCAGCTACCCTTCAGCCTTCCACAGTGTGATGTTCAACCCTGTGGAGCCCAGGCTGCTCGCCACAGCCAACTCTAAAGAAGGTGTTGGATTGTGGGATATTCGCAAACCACGCAGGTGAGACATTTTCCTCTGACTTTTAGGTCTTCGTGCTGTTTTCAGAATAAACTTTGTGCCCTTTTAGTAKAATATACTTTATCTGCTATACAGTTCTACTACCTAGTTGCTACCTATGCTAATTACCATTCCCAACTAGAGATCATTGGCTTGAAGTTATKGAACTGTGAAACAAGTTTGATTATTGTAATTTGCATCTCTTGTAGTGTACATATTCTCTTTACTATTTTAAAAGTTTAAATTATTGAAGATGCTATATGAATATTAATTGAAAATTGATGTTGAATGAGTTGGCCTAAATAAGTAAGCACTTATTATCAAGAACTGGAGTAAAAGATAACAAATAATGAAACCAGRCAAGAAAATTAGAACAAGAATCAAACAAACCATGTAAAATATTTCATCATAAATCTACTATCTGCTTTATTGTTGTGCTACATGAYGTTTGAATGACAAACTGAAATAAAGTGAAGGTTTTGAGCTCATTCTTATTGGTGAAAGTTCAGTTTCACAATTCTGAGAAAGTCTTAACATTATCTAACAGGATGTATGAAGGAAAGGAGCACAGAATCATTCAGTTGCATGATTTTATTAATCTGAACATTCAGCTTGATCTGTACGCCAACTTGCAGTATGAAAATGGCACTCTGACACATGTGGCCCTTGGTAACTTTTGAACAGTTCAGTTTAGGAATTCATGCATTTTTTTTAATGAACGCTGGGAATGATACTTGATACTGTCAGCGCAGCAGGTTACCCACCTATTGGATGAGGGTTTTTTTCTTTTTTTTTTCATGTAACTTTGCCACCTTTATAAACAATGTTCATGGATTGTAAAATTTTTGAAAGAAAAACACTGAGCTTTTGACAGTTTTAATTTCACTTATTACCGTGTTCTCTTTTAATTGACTCCTTTGTACTAATACAAAACATGAAAACTGCTTTGTTACCCGTGGACCTTTAAACAGAACTGGCTTGTTACAGAATTCCTACATACCCTCATCTACATCTCTAACTAATTGATGGAAAAAATAAAGTTAATCTGATATTAAGTAAGCAGGTTACATACAAGGTTTTAGACAGATTTTTTTTGCAAATAGTTAAAAATAAAATAATATGCAAAGACGTCGATGAACAGACATAATGCTCCCAGGGGTATTGAAGATTTCATAAAAAGAGGAGTGCAGGTACCAGCTGGTGTTAAAGACCTGGTTGATCCTCTGTAATGTTTAGAGATTTTACAAATTTAAATGCTTTCTTTTCCTGTGCTCTCAGCTCGCTGCTGCGTTACGGAGGCAGCATGTCCCTGCAGAGCGCCATGAGTGTTCGCTTCAACAGCACAGGCACACAGCTACTGGCTCTCCGGCGCCGCCTGCCGCCTGTCCTCTACGAGCTGCATTCCCGCCTGCCCAGCTTCCAGTTTGACAACCAGGGCTACTTCAACTCCTGTACCATGAAAAGCTGCTGCTTTGCTGGGGACAAAGATCAGGTGGGTCAACAATTCATAGGAAACTGAAACTGCTACTACAAACACTAAAATGAAAAAGCTACACGTCATGCCCACATTTCCCCTTTATGTCCATGAAAATATGTACAGAAAATTCTGCACAGGAAAAGGAGATTTTTTCTTTTTAGTAATTYTGAAACACATTAAACCAGTCTACACTGATCTGCAGCAGTTCACACATGCTTCTCTGGAAAGCGGGAGAGTTTTGGATGCAACATTCTTACTTGATGTGTCACCTGTGAAGCTGAGACGAAGCACACAGGTGTTCACGTGCCCTCAGCTACACTCATCGGAGAAATAAAAAAAAGGTTAAAAAACAAAAAGGTTTCGCTTCACATCCAGTTTTTCTCAATTCAAAATGTCCAGAATGTGTGGAGATCCAAGCTTTATAGACCTGYATGAACGTAACCAAGAGAAAATGCATTTTCTGCAAAATGTAATCATGGAAACTAAGAGCTTGAATGACTTCAGGGAAATCTACCAAAGAAACTAAAACTGAGTTGGTAAATTTTAAAACAAAGCAAAGGCTTCAGTGAGCTAATATTAGCAGAACACATGCTGAAATGAACAAAACACAAACTAAAACTAGCAGACCACAAGCTAAAGACTAAAGGCATCAAAAAATAGCAGGACAGAAGCTAAAATTAATACAACTAAAATTTACAAAAACAATGCTACAAACTACACAAGTACAAATTTGTAC